CAGAGCTCCGCGGCTGCCGGGGCCGCTGGTCCGGATCACGGCCACCCCGCACCGGCCGTGCCCGGAGGACACGGCGAAGATGGTGTCCCCCCACGCCGCGGAGCAGAGGCGCTGCGCACACCTGGGACAGGGCAGGCAGCACGGAGAAGGGGTGCAGCGGTGGGGGGCACCCCATCCACACCCCCGTATGGGACAGAGGGGGTGCAGGGATACCCAACCACAACATTCACATTCACTCCCGCCCAAGACCCCTCCTTGTGCCCTCCACAGACCCAAGGGGGCTCCCAGCGGACCCTGAGCGCAAACCCTTCCCTCTGCCCCCCCAGAAGCCAGGGGTGCAGGTTGCACCCCACCATGCCCCGGGCAGGCAGCAGAATGCAGGGGTGCAGCCCCCTCTCCCCCCACAGCTCGTCCTGAAGGTGCAGCCCCCTCCGTGCACCCCGCCCACTCCTCTGTTTTGGGGTGCATCCGCCCAAAGGCACTGGGGGCACCCCACCTTTCCCTGTGCACCCCCGGTAGAAGGAGACACCCCCACTGCCCGTGCCCCCCCTTCCCTCGCACTACCGCTACACCGGGGTCCCTGCACCCCTCTTGGAGCACCCCCCCCCCCGAGGAAGCCCCAGCCCCGGGTGCCCCAACCTGCGCCCCGCCGCGGCCAGCGCCCTCCGCAGCGCCATGAGTCCCCTCCGCTCTGCCCGCACCCCGAGTGGCCTTCAGCGCCGGCGCCTCGCCCCGCCCATCTGCGTGCGTCGATTGGCCAGAACGCTACCAGAGGCGGGCTCTATGCCGCGATCCCGTTTTTGATTGGTCAGTGGGCAGCCATGACACCCCGCCGTCTGAAGCTCTATAGGAGCCACCGCTTCCGCCCGGGCGCGGCGGTCCCTGCCCGTTCCCTCCAGTTCCCGGCGCGTTCTCCCCGTTTCCTCCCGTTCCACCCCGTTCCCTGCCCGTTCTCTCCCTTTTCCTCCAGTTCCCTGCCTGTCCCCGCCGGGCTGCAAACCCCGCTCTCTCCCCGCCCTCTCCCGCCCCCCGGGTGCTCCCCTCGAGGGGTACAGACTATTGGGGTGCAGCGGCCCCCCCCGGGGGTTCCCCCGGTTATTGCGGTGCTGCTCTGTGGGTGCGGGGCCTGGCGGGAGCAACAAACTCGCGACCCCCGGCTGCACCCTCAAATAACCCTCCGAGCCCTGAGGTGGGGGTCCCCGTATCCTGGGTGGGGGGGCAGAACCCCTCATGCCCCGTCCCTTTCCTACCCCGGCTCTGCACCCACTCTGGGCCCCATCCCCTTTGCCCTCAGGAGCACTTGGACTCTTTGGGACCCTCCTATTTCAGGGTCCTCACGCTGGGCAATCCCCCCCCCCCCCCAAGTGGCTGAGCCCCAGCTCCGCACCCAGTCAAGCTCTTTCCCTGGGACCCCCCACGTACCCTTGCATCTCCGCCGGCAGCGGGAGCTGGGGCTGACCCTGGGACGTGGGATGTGGGTTCCCACAAGGCACCCCCCACCATGTGCACCCGCAGCCACCCACTGCTCCATGAACCACAGAAACGTTCTCCAAGCAGCATCACGCGAGGTTCCCACTCCCCATCCTGCTGTCCATCGATGCCATAGGATGCAGGACCCCATCCCTGTCTCCATCCCATCCTCAGGACACACAGCCTTGGGTGGGGGGTTGAGGCAGCCAGCTGGTGCACAGGGGTTGGGGTACGAGCAGCCATGACAATGGGGTTCCCCCTACTCTGGGGGAGTCTTTTCCTGTGGTCCCCCAAATATCGGCTCAGCTTGCAGCAGTTTGGGGGCTGCTGGGGCCGCGGAGGGCTGAGGGCGGCTGCGGTGGCCGGGGGGGGGGGTGGCAGTGTTGTGGAAGGCGGGGACGGCCATGCAGACAAAGGCGCAGGAGCAGGGAGGAGCAAACAGCAGCATGGCCGGGATGCTGGCAGGGATGCAGGCGGGGATGCAGGCGGGGATGCTGGAATCCCGGGGATGCTGGATGCCTCCTCCTCTGCTAAATCCTACAGACATCCCGCAAGCCTCCCCCAGATTCCCTCTGCCCTGCGGGTCAGGGATGAGGGATGGGAGCACAGAGCATCAGCAGGGAGCGGGCCCAGCTCTGGGGCTGTGGGGGGTCTCTCTCGAAGGGATTTGGGGCACTCGGGTGCCCCCCCCCAAGCCTCAAGGCTCCAGGGCAGGCCCCAGGAGACCCCACCCCACCCTGTGTGCAGAAGCTTTTCGTTGGGCCACCCACCGCTCCCACCCCCCCCAGCTCTTAGTGCCTCAGCCCCCTCCTCACCCAACCTCACGGGGGTCCCAGGAGGCTCTTGTGGGGGTTCGGGACCCACCGAAAGGGGATGGGGTCACCCAGTGCCCAGCTAAGACAGGGCCAATGGCCAGGCCTGGCCTGGGAGAGGTGCCAGCCTGTCCCGTCCCGTCCCGTCCCCCCCGCCAGATGCCGGGGGAGGGGACAGCTCCTTGTGGCACCGCTCTTTAGCGCTGGCACTAAGCCCCTACCCCAGAATAGCAGCGGGTGTGCGGAGCAAGGCAAGGGGACAAGCGGGACCTGGCACAGGGGTACCCGCACACCAATGCCCCCTCTGAAAGGGGCTCAAAGGGGGGGCTGCGCTGACCCCCAGGACCCGCCGGGTGGAGGGGTCCTCCCCCCCAGAGTGAGGGCTCCGGGCTGGGGAAGGGAGGGGAGGCACAGAGGAGGGCTCCCGAAATATCAGAGTGCGGCCCCGCTCGAGTTACACCCCCTCCCCCCCCCCCAGCTCCCCCTCAGGGCTCCAGGGAAAAGCCTGATCCAAGGGAATGGGAGGGGGGGGGGGCCGGGGGCAGGCTGGATAACGGGGAGGTGGGGATGCAGGGGGCAGCTCGGGGGGGGGATGATGCGGATGTGGGGCAGTCCCGGGGTGGGGAAATGGGGACGTGGGGCACTCACGGGGGGGGGATAACGGGGACATGTGTCAGTCCCGGGGGTATGCGAGGACACGCGGCTCGGGGGGGATGCTCCGTGACCCGGGGGGTGTCGCCGCCGCCACGGTCCCGCAGAACCACCCCACGGGGCGCGGCCGGACACGCGTGGCCGGTACGACCGGCGCTGGGGAGCCAGCGGCCAACCAGACAATTAAAGGGGCCGGGAACACCGCGCTCCGCTTCGCCGCCTTTGTCCCTCCTCCCGCCCGGCCCCGGTGGCGGCGGCGGCAGCGGCTCGGGTGGCACCGGCGGCACCGGCCCCGAGCCCGGAGCCGCGGCGGCCTCATGCACCGGCCCCCGCCGCCGAGCCCCGCACCATGCCCGAGCCGCCGGTGGCAGCGCAGGACGGAGACCGGCCCCGGCGGGCCCCGGCCGGGGAGGAGCGAACGGAACCGGCGGCCCCGACCGGCGTCCTGGGTAAGGTGGCACCGGGCGGGAGCCGCCGCCGGGGTCGGGGCTGCGGCTGCGGGGTGGGGAGCGGGGACGGCAGCTCCCTGCGGCTCGATGCGGATGTCGGCGGGGCTCGGCCGGGATGCGGCTCCCCGGGGACGGGACGGGCCGAGTCCCCGGTGCGGCTCTAAGCAACCCTCCGGAAGGGTCCGAGAGCCCGAGGGGATCCATGGTCCTGCGGGGGTCGGGGCTGTGTGTGTGTGTCCCCCGCACTGGCCCGTGCCCCCTCGGGACGGTGTTCATGCACAGGTCGGTGTCCCCAGTCATCGGCCCAGCACCGGGTCCATGCGCACCCCGTGTCACACCGAGGCCATGCAGTCCCCCCAGGAAAGCCGGTTTGCCCCCCCCCCCGGACAGGCCTTTGCCCCCCCCCAACCAGCTCAGTGCCCTCCAGGACAGATCTGGGCAGTGAGGCCAGGATGAGGGCTTGGTTTTGGAGTGCCCAAGCTGGGGTTGGGATGTCCCCCCAGTGTGGCACCAGGGGTAGGTGACACCCCCACGGCCAGGTTGGGCTCCCCACGGCCAGGCGGTGCAGGCAGGGCCTGCTGCCTGCCGTGCTGCCGAGCGGGGCTCCTGCCTGCGGGAGGGTGACCCACTTTGTGTGCCCCCCCGGGACGCGGCATCACCGCTCCCCCCAACAAGCACCTTCCCCGGTGGCCGCGGGCTCCGCTCGGCGGTGGGGCAGCGTCATTCCCAGCACGCTGCAGCTCCCATGACCTTATCCCAGAGAGCCAAGGTGAGCAGCAGGGCCCTGGTGGACGGGGAGGGGGGGGGACAATATGTCTTGGGGGTGGGCTGGGATGCTGCAGGCCAGCAGTGAGCCCCTTGTGCCAGTTTGGTTGCCAGGGGGAGGCTGGGGATCAATGGAGTGAGGGGGACCCCAGGGCTCAGCCCCAGTGGGGTTGGGGTTCAGGCACGATGCTGGGGACCCCTCTGCAGTTCATCCACATCTTTTGCCATGACCTTGGGCAGGAAGATCCCTCCTGTCCCCCCGCAGCATCGCCCCTGTTTGCAGCTGATGCACACGCGTGTGCAGCTCCTCTGCTGCCCTGCCCATGCCAGGGCCTACATAACCCAGAGTGGGTGAATTCAGCACTGCTGCAAGGCCCGGTGAGCACAGGCAACCATTGGCACCAGCGCTGCACACCTGCCCTGCACCCCAGCACCCCAGCACCTTGGCACCCCTGTCCCTGCCACACTGGTACCCAGTACCCCAGCACTCTGTCCCTCACACACTGGTAGCCCAGTACCTCAGCACCCTGTCCCTGGCACAGTGGTACCCCAGCACCCTGTCACCCCGGCACCCCAGCAGCAGGGTGCAGGACATGCCCCTGGCAGCAGGATTGGCCCCACTCTGGGGGTGGCTTCCCGCCAGCCTGGCACCATCCCCAGCTTCACCCACGGTGCCAGGACAAGGGAGCCCTTTGAGAGCCTGGCGCCACAGCCCCTTCTTGGTGGTGCCTGGTGATGAGTTTGCCAGGTCTCAGCCCTGGTGCCTGGCAGGGTGTCCGGAGCCCGGGTGCATCCCCAGGGATGAGCTGGGGGAGCAGGTCCGGCAGTTCCTGTTTTTCAGGGCTGCCAGGTCCTCCTGTGAGCAGCGTTTCCGGAGCCCCGGGACCTTCCCAGCCCTGGGGCAGCCGGAGAGGCCCCATCCTGGTTCTGCCACCCTGGCTTTGGAGGGGAAACTGAGGCAGGGAGGTGGCCGGGCTCACAGCCAGCACGGGACAGGGGCAAGTGGGGGCCCACAGGGCTCCCCAGCACCACCAGGGAGCCCCATCCTGCCCTCCCTGCCTGTTTTGGATGCACCCAGTCCCCATCCATCCCAGGAGGTGAAATGGGGACACTGGGCAAGGGGACAGCTTGGCCCCACGCTGTGCACACCCCGCAGCATGGAGAGGGGCCGTGTCTCTGCGCCGGCACCCGATAGGGGGGTGACAAGGGGCCCTGGGGACTGTCCCCATCCCACCTCTCTGCGGTGATGCGGGGCCTCCCTGGGTTTCCATGGAGACCGGCTGCTTTTCCGCTCTCCCCGTTTTTCCTGCCTTTTCCCATCTCCTGGAGCCGGATCTCGGCCCCTCCGAGGGGCTGCGGGAGGAGGTGAGCGGCAGGGGGGGGCTGGCAGTGGGGCACCCCATGGCCAGCAGCACCCATGGGTGCCTGGACACGCTCCCGGCTCCTCCCCGGCAGCTGTCGGGGGCCTTTTTGGGCACTGGGAGCTGCCGGAGGAGAAACCTGAGCCAGGGCCGGCGTCACCAGGAGCGGGACCGTGACCTTTGCCATGGGCGCTGCTGGAGACAGACACACACGGGGTGTCCCTGCGCCCACCCCATGCACCGGCCGCTGAGTTGGGTGCTTTGGGGTGCAGTTCCCGGGGGCCTGGGGGTGCCCCAATGGCTGCTCATCCCCTCCCTCCTTCCCTCCCTCCTGCAGATAAGCTCTTCGGGAAGCGGCTGCTCCAGGCCGGGCGCTACATCATGTCCCACAAGGCCTGGATGAAGACGGTGCCCACAGAGAACTGCGACGTGCTCATGACCTTCCCGGGTAGGGAGCTGCTGGAGCTGCTCTGGGTGGTGGCACAGCGGGAATGGGGAGGGAATGGCTGGGATGGGGCTGCGCTGGGAGATGTGGCCCGTGCTGAGCAGCACCGTGCAGACACCACCGATGACCACACGCTGCTCTGGCTCCTCAACCACATCCGCCTCGGCATCCCTGAGCTCATCGTGCAGGTCCGGCACCACAAGCACACCCGTGTGTACGCCTTCTTCGTCACTGCCACCTATGAGAGGTGGGGTCCTGGCTGCGTCCCCAGCCCCTACCATGGTCCCCGCCGTGTCCCCCGCCGTGTCCCCAGCGCTGTCCCCTCCTCCTGCAGTTTGCTGCGTGGGGCCGATGAGATTGGGCTGCGGAAGCCGGTGAAAGCGGAGTTCGGAGGCGGAATGCGGAGCTTCTCCTGCGAGGAGGATTACATCTATGAGAACATCGAGAATGAGCTTTACTTCTTCACCTCTCAGGTGGGATGCAAGGGATGAGGGACATGGGGCAGGGAGGCAGGGATGTAGACATGGGGATGCAAGGATACAGAGATATGGGGTACAGGGATGTGGGGATGCAGGAATGTGGGGACGCAGGGAAGTAGGCATGTGGGGACACAGGTATGTAGGCATGTGGGGATGCAGGGGTGCAGAGATGTAGGCACGTGGGATACAGGGATGTGGGGGTGCAGGGATGCAGGAGTGTGGGAATATGGGAGGCAGGGGTACAAGGATGAGTGGATGCCGGGATGCAGGCATGTAGGGATGTGGGAATGCGGGATGCAGGGTTGTGTGGATGCCGGGATGCAGGGATGTGTGAATGCCAGGATGCAGGCATGTGGGGATGTGGGAATGCGGGGATGTGGGAATGCAGGGATGTGTGCAGATGCAGGGCTGTGGGCATGTGGGGCTGCAGGGCAGGGATGCAGGGAAGGCAGGTACTCTTGCCCTCCCCAGGTGAAGCAGGGGATCAGGGACTGATCCAGCCACCCCCCAAACTGGGGATGAGGTCGGTCCAGGGATGGAGTTAGGGTTAGGGGTTGGTGGGAGCATGTCCCGGGGCTGAACCCCGCTGCGGTGCTGCAGGAACGGCAAAACATCATCAGGTACTGGCTGGAGAACCTGCGCGCCAAGCAGGGCGAGTCGCTGCACAACATCCACTTCCTCGAGGGGCAGCCCATCAGTGAGTACGGAGCTGCCCAGTGCGCCCCTGTCACCGCGTGTCCCCATCCCCACGCAGGCCACCCCAAACCTCCCCATTGTTCTTCCATGCTGGGGCCATGCGGGGACGCACCCGGGGGGGGTTGCTCTGTGTCCCCCCTGTCCCATCCCTTACGCTGTGCCCTGCGGCGCAGTCCCGGAGCTGGCGGCCCGCGGCGTCATCCAGCAGGTCTTCCCGTTGCACGAGCAGAGGATCCTCAAGCGGCTCATGAAGTCCTGGGTGCAGGCGGTGTGCGAGGCCCAACCTCTTGGTATGGGGACGAGGGGGGTGGCGTGGGCACAATGGGGGGTCCCAGCTCTGCTCATTGCCCCCCTCATGGTCCCCACAGATGAGATCTGCGACTACTTTGGGGTGAAAATCGCCATGTACTTCGCTTGGTTGGGATTCTACACCTCGGCCATGGTGTACCCCGCAGTGTTCGGGTCCATCCTCTACACCTTCACTGAGAACGACCAGGTGAGAGGGGTCAGGAAATGGGGTGAATCCCTGTTTCTGGGGCTCAGAGGGGCTGTTTGCCACCTTTCCATCCCTCCTTGCTCCAGCGTTTTCCCTATGGTGCTTGAACGCTGTAGCTCCCAAGCCCATGGTGATGGGGCTGCAGCAGCACCATGGGGCTCCCCAGAGCTGGGGTGGGGGGATGCTGGGGACAGGAGGTGCAGGCCCTGGTGCAGTGGGTGCTGTTGTTCCTGCAGACCAGCCAGGACATCTGCTGCGTGGTCTTTGCCATCTTCAACGTCATCTGGGCCACGCTCTTCCTCGAGGAGTGGAAGCGCCGCGGCGCCGAGTTCGCCTACAAATGGGGGACGTTGGACACCCCGGCTGAGTCCATTGAGGAGCCGCGGCCACAGTTCAGGGTGAGCCCTGGCTCTGAGAGGGGGTCCCCATGGCTGGGGGTTCCTATGGCTGGGGAGGGGTTTCCTATGAATAGGGGGTTCCTATGGCTGGGGAGGGGTTTCCTATGAATAGGGGCTTCCTATGGCTGGGGGGTTCCTGTGGCCGGGGGTTCCTGTGGCTGGGGGGGGTGGTTCCTATGGCTGGGAGCATCCCCTGTGTTTGGGTCTGGCTGAGCTCCCCCTGACCACAACGAGCCCCTCAGGGAGGTCTGTGCTGGGGTCACGGGGGGCTCCTTTGGGGCGCCCGATGTGGGGAGGGTGACAAGCTCCTGCCCCCCTTCATTAGGGCATTAAGAGGATCAGCCCCGTGACCAGTGCGGAGGAGTTTTACTACCCACCATGGAAGCGCCTCCTATTCCAGAGCCTGGTCAGCCTCCCTGTCTGCCTCACCTGCCTCTCCCTCGTCTTCCTCCTCATGCTGGGCTGCTTCCAGCTCCAGGCGAGTCTCATCCCACCATTCCAGGCTGGCAGCACCCCCCCGACGCTAAGCCTCACCCATCCCCATCCCCATCCCTGCAGGAGTTCGTGCTGAGCATCCAAGAGCTGCCCCGCATCATCCGATTCCTCCCCAAGATCCTCCTGGCCATCATCGTCACTGCCTGCGATGAACTCTACAAGAAGATCGCATACTGGCTGAATGACATGGGTATGCTGGGGATGGCACCCAGGGGTGCTGTGGGCAAGGCTGGGTGCTGGGATCCCCTCTCCTGAGCCCCCATCCTGAATCCCTTCCTCTGCTTTGCAGAGAACTACCGCCTGCAGAGTGCCTACGAGAAGCATCTCATCATCAAAATCGTCCTGGTGAGGGCAGATGGAGGGGACCGGGGGGGATGGAGAGGGGATGAAGGGGGACAGAGAGGGATGGAGGGGACCAGAGGGGGTTGGAGGGGACCGGAGGGGGTTGGAGGGGACCGGAGGGGGATGGAGGGGGACAGAGAGGGATGGAGGGGACCGGAGGGGGTTGAAGGGGACCAGAGGGGGATGGAGGGGACCGGAGGGGTTTGGAGGGGACCGGAGGGGGATGGAGGGGACCGGAGGGGGATGGAGGGGGACAGAGAGGGATGGAGGGGACCGGAGGGGGTTGGAGGGGACCGGAGGGGGATGGAGGGGACCGGAGGGGTTTGAATGGGACCGGCGGGTCCCGGTGCCCCCCCGTGCTCACCGCCCTCGTCTCCCACAGTTTCAGTTTGTAAATTCATACCTGAGTCTTTTCTACATCGGTTTCTACCTCAAAGACATGGAGCGGCTGAAGGAGGTGAGGAGGGGCCGCGCCCGGGGGCAGCGGCTCCGCCCGGAGCCCCCCTCGGCACCGTCCGGACCGACGTCCTCGACCCATCCCTGTCACCGTGTCCCCTCCTCCCGGGGGAGGGGGTGCCCCCGCGAGCCCCCGCCGCGGTCCTTGGCTGCTGCTGCCGCTGTGCAGGGTCCCAGCTCCCGCTCCCGCTCACGGTGTCTCTCTGTCTCTGTCTGTCTGTTCTTCTGTCCCTTCCACAGCTCCTGCTCATCTTCTCTCTGTCCCAAAGCCTCGTGCGTCAGCTCAAAGAGGCTCTCCTCCCCTTCATCCTCCTCCACTTCCACCTCTCTCTCATCTTCTTTAAGGGCCTCCTGGGCTTTTGCTGGAGACTGGGAATATCCAAAGTAGGAGTGGGGCTGCGGGGGGGGGGTGGGCATCCCTTTGCACCTCACCTCGGGACCCCCACACTGCCCTTCGGGAGGGATTCGGGCTCTGCTCTGGTCGGTGGCACAAGCTGAGGTCCCACCATCACTTGTCACCAACGGGGGGGGGGTCACAGGAGGTGGGAACGGGGCCGGGGTGATGCCACAGGGACACCGTGCACCAGGCGATGGGGATGCAGGGACACCGCACCCGCTGTGCTGTCCCTGGGGGTGTGACGGCGTGCCCCTGTCCCCCCGTGTCCCCGTGCAGATGCTGGCCACGCTGCTCATCACCCGGCAGTTCCTGCAGAACGTCAGGGAGGTCTCACAGCCCCACCTGTACCGGCGTCTGCGCCGCGGGGACCTCAACCTCCGCAGCCTCCGCCAGCTCGCCCAGGCCTTGCTCTGCCTGCTCGTCCCCCGCCGCCATCCCCCGGCCCCTTCCGAAGGACCCCGGGGCGAGAAGAAGTGTCTGAACGGCGGCTGCGGGGTGCCGGAGGAGGAGGAGGAGGAGGAGGAGCGCCGAGAGTCAGACTCGGAGGAGGAGAGCGCCCTGGACTGTGGGCTCAAGCTCAAGAAGGTGAGCTTCATTGAGAAGGCGGAGCGGCGCGGCACCGAGCCCGGCGGCGCCGAGGATGAGAGCTTCCTGGAGGAGGGCAGCCCCACCATGGTGGAGAAGGGCATGGACCCCGCGTCCGTGTTCGAGCTGTGCGAGGACGAGGACGAGGCCGAAGGTGCCCCCGGCAGCCCGGTCAAGGCAATGGAGCCCGCAGTGGTCCCGCGGGCCGGGCGCAGAAGGAGGGTGGCGGAGAGCCAGGAGGAAGACGAGGGTGAGGAGGAAGGAACGAAGCGCAACCGTGCATCGTGGATCGACCCGCCAGAGGAGGACTACTCCACGCAGCTGACACAGGCAGAGGTGGAAAGCTGCATGAAGAAGTATGAGGTGAGCAGGGACATGGAGCTGGTGGGATGCAGCATTCACCCCCCTATCCCCATTGCAACACCCTTCCTCCTCCTCATCCTCCCCAGGACACGTTCCAGGACTACCAGGAGATGTTCATCCAGTTCGGGTACGTGGTGCTCTTCTCCTCTGCCTTCCCCCTGGCTGCCATGTGCGCGCTGGTGAACAACATCATCGAGATCCGGAGCGATGCCTTCAAGCTGTGCACAGGGCTCCAGCGCCCCTTTGGCCAACGTGTTGAGAGCATCGGGCAGTGGCAGGTGGGGTTTGGGGTGATGGGGACATGGGGGTCCCCCCTCCCTTGGGGGGCTCATTCCTGGCACTGTGGCTCTTGCAGAAGGTGATGGAGGCCATGGGTGTCTTGGCCATCGTGGTCAACTGCTACCTGATTGCCCAGTGTGGGCAGCTCCAGCGCCTCTTCCCCTGGCTCAGCCCCGAAGGAGCCATCATCTCCGTGGTGGTGCTAGAGGTATGGTGCTTGTGTCCATGGCTGTTATTGTAGGGTCTCCTGGTGCACGACGAGGTGTTTAACCCCCTAGGCTGTTCTTGTGTGGTCTCTCCAGTCCCCCCATCCCTTTTGGGGTGTGTTTCAGGAGCGGGCAGCAGTGCCCGGGGTGGGGATGCTCATCCAGAACCATGTTGATCCCCCTGCAGCATTTCGCCCTGTTCCTGAAGTACATCATCCAAGTGGCCATCCCCGATATTCCCGCCTGGGTGGCCGAGGAGATGGCCAAGCTGGAATACCAGCGCCGTGAGGCCTTCAAGGTAGGGGCTGCTGGGATGGGACAGGCCCCTCCTTGGGGCTGAGCACGCCCGCAGGGTGTCCCGATGCTGATGGGGTCCCTGTTGCAGAAGCACGAGCGCCAGGCACAGCACCACTTCCAGCAGCAGCAGCGGCGCAAGCGGGAGGAGGAGGAGCGGCAGCGACACGCTGAGTACCAGGCCCGCAAGGAGCGGGAATCCAGCCGGGATGAGGCCAAGCCTGAGGCCACCGGGCAGGACCCGGCCCATGAGAAGAGCCAGAGCAAAGGGAAAGGCTCTGGGGGCAGCTCGCACAGCGGCTCCGACAAGCCCAAGAGACCCAGCTCCCTCCTGGCCACCAACAACGTGATGAAGCTGAAGCAGATCATCCCTCTGCAGGGCAAGTTCCTCTCCGGGGGGACTGGGGCTGGCAGCACGGCCACCACCAGGTCCCCCCAGTCCCCTACGGGCAGTGAGAACAAACTCCCCGGCTTCCTCAGCTTCAAGTTCCTGAAGTCCCCCGAGACTAAGCGGGACACGGGGACCGAGAAGGTGCAGTCGCCCACCAAGCCATTCAATCCCGGCAAGCTCTTCAACTTCGGCAAGTCTGAAGGGGCTGGGGGCAATGGTGCCGTGGCCACTGCGTCCCCCCAGCCCCGCCCCGGCCCCTCGATGGACATGGGTGAGCGGCCAGTGCCCAGCAAGTCCCATCTCAATGGGGTGCAGGAGGAAGGGAGCCGTGAGGAGCCGGAAAGCCGGGCGGAGGAGGAGAGCGGGGGCTATAAACTCTAACTGGAGCTGTGGGGGAGCAGGGATGAGTGGGAATGAGCGCTCCCTTCTCCAGGCAGCCGTTGCTGTCGCCACCCTCTCACCTCCCCTCGCCATCCTGACACCAGGAGCTGTCCCCTCGCTCTGCACTGTTCCCCTGTGCTGCATCCCCTTGTGTCCCTCCAGCCCCTCCACTGGGACCCGCTGCATCCTGCACCAGGGACACCCAGCAAAGAGCCGTCGGTGTAAGTGGCATCTGGCCGTGGCTTTGGATTCAGAGCAGCCCGACAGGTTCCCCTCCTGTGCCCCACCAGAGATGCCCCAGTCTGGCTCTGTGCTGTGAGCCCAGATGTGAGCCTGAAGAGACTCACAGGGAGATGCTGTGGTCCAGCCCAAGGAGACAAGGAGAACTCAGTGGTGCCAGATCCACCAGGATCAGCTCGCCGGGCTCAGCACCATGTCTCTGATGGCAGAGGGATGAGACCATGGTGGAGAGAGGAGCCCGATTCACCCGTGCCTATAGCTCCTGCCATACAGTCACCGCTCCATCCTGCTCCTGGCAGCCTCCATGTGGATTCCTTCCCAGCACCGGACATTGTCCTGCCCGAAGACCGGCCGGGAGGGAGGGGGGCGAGCGCCAGCACCCGGATTCTCATGCACGGGCAGCATTTCTTGCACTAAAACCCAAACCAACCCCAACGCAAGCGACTCTGCTCTGCTTCATGTGACGGCAGAGCCCGGCCAGGTGCGGGCAGCAGCCCCAGCGACTGCAACGCGAGCCGGGACCGGCCTCTCCCGCTCCACTTTCCCATTTCCTGGAATGATTTCGCAATAAGGCACTCGCGGGGGTTGTGCCGGAGCCTGGGGGAAGGAGTGGGACCGGGGGGGGGGGGGCGGGGGGGAACGCAACGCGAGCCCTGGGCAGGGAGGGGGGTGGGAGCCGCTTCGCTTCTGCCGGGGCCGGTGGTACTTTTAGCGCTAACAGCCGCGGCTCTGCGCGGTTCTGCTTCGCTTTGTGGGACAGGACCCCAAAGGGGACCCATCCAGCCCCCCACTGCCACTAGCCACCACCCATCTCCAAAGCAAGCAGGGGAGAGGCAGGGGGCTCCGGGGCTGCCCCATCACTGTGCCTGGTCCAGGCCTGGGCAGCCTCACAGCATCAGCGCATCCCTCTCTCCCTAAGGCCTGGGCTGTAGAAAACATCAGGTTGTTCCCCCCATCCTTGTTTCTCTCTCTACATGTCATGTATTAGTTGTGTTTGTCTTCAAATCAAGCCATTTTATACAGCAATAAGGGCAGAAGAGGGCAAAGGCTTTATCCACTGCTCCTGGGCTGTGGATGCTCTCCAGGTCCATAGGCTCCATCTCCCACATTGCCGGGGGCCAGCCCCTGGGAGCGCAAGGGGCACCCCAGCCACGTCCCCTCGCAGCAGCACAGGATGCAGGAGAGATTCCTGGAGCAGTTCCTGGGATCCTGGGGCGCAGTGAGGCTGGTACCAAGACAGCCATGCCCTGGAGAGTTAAAGCACAGCACGAGGAGAGAGCCCAGCCCGGCTGGGGGCACAGGTAACCCAATCCCCCCAGCCTCGGCTCAGCACCCTGCCTGCAGGACCCTGGGCACTGCAGAGCCCAAAGCTCAGCCCTTGCCTCCTGGTTCTCCACGTCACTGAGTGCTCAGGGCCAGCTCAGCTTTGCCCCCCTCAAACACACACGGGGCTTAAAGAGAGTTTCTTCAATCCCTCTTCCCTCCTGAGAGGAACAGTCCTGGCTCCATCTCTTTCCATCCGGCTTGCAAAGGGGAGGGCAGGGCCCTGCTGCCCCCAGGACCCCCCTGCCCAGGGCATTTTTAACCATTTCTCCCTATAATAAAGTATTTCTACAAGCAGGCACCCATCTGGGATCTCCCTCTTTGGGGCAGTCACTGTGCCAAGGAGGGAGGCGTTTGGATTGGTTTATTCCTTTCTGTGTTTTATTGTGTTGGGAATTTAACAGAACTGAAGGGGGTTATTTATTTCTTTTTAATTTATTTTGTCATATTTTTGTAAAACCTGCAGAAATGCAATAAAAATCTATTTCAACAAGCCTGAGGCCTTGGGCTCAGTTCTTGCCTGCAGCATCGATCTGCTGCTGGAGGGGAAGGGGACAGTAGGGATGCTGCCACCCAGCACAGTCTTCTAACACAGGGCAAAGCCCCCAGGCAGTGACACATGAGGAATGACCCAAGTTCTCACCCTCTAAATTCTGCCCATTTATTCTAGACAGTATCAATCATGGAAGAGATGAATATAAACGTAAACCCAATGGCCCTGACATTAAGCTAATGGTAGGTTCCCACCCTCCCAAGACGCAGCTTCCAGGAAAACCACCTTCTTGCAGCCCCACGAGACAGGAGCGTGTGGAAAAGAGGGAAATTTCTGTTGCAAAGCCAGGTTTGGAAGTGCCACAGATACTGTGTGGCAAAAAGTCAGGCTGGGAGGAATGGGCTGGAGGAGTTGAAGCAGTTGAAGGTGAGAGAAAGCTCCAAGCTGGGCTGTGCCATGCGGCTGCTTTCACTAAAAATACCCCATGAAGCTCAGTAACAGCACCTTGGACTGATTAATCACAAATGAACGCTTGGAAATGAGCACAACTCCAGCACAGACAAGGCAGTGACTCAGCTTTGACCATCCATTGAGGTCCCAGGCCACTTCTTAAAGGGATTTGTCTTCCCATAGCCCTACATCCCCAAAAAGAACACACTAGACACCTCATTCTGCTCCCCAGCCCCTCACCCCTTTCCACGCTCACCCCTATCAAAGCAGTCAAGAGGATTTGACCTGTTTGACTTACCTCCTATCATGACCCTCAAGAAAATCAAAGCACTTTGTGTGTTGAACAGCAACATGCCAGGGACTGCAGTGCTGCAATGGGAACAGTGACCCATCGTCCCAGGGATGTTTATGGAGCTGTTCGCAAGAAGGCAAAGTCAAATGTTCCTCTGAGTCACTAAATGAAGTTGGCTGTGGCCATGAAGGTGAGGAAATGAGAAGCGTAACAAATCACCACCATCACTGTGCACAAGGCAGCCATGAGTTGGTTTAGGGGAAGGAGCAGGAGAGCAGATGACCTACGGAAAACCCTGTCTCAACAGCAAGTGCTGGTCCCCAGTATGCCAGCTCCCCTGGTGTCATGTCACCCACGCACCCGGTTCCCTGGAGGTGGCCAGCCACCTTTTGCTGGATAGAAAAGAAAATCCTGATTGGAAATAGGGTCAAGATCTCCCCAGTGAACACTCCCTTCCAGGTTAACATCAGCAAAACGGGGAACTTCGCCATAAAAGTTAAAGCTCAAAAGCATCAAGAACTCTTTTTTAATTCCTAGAACCACCCAATTCTAACATCACACACAGAGTTCTTCAGGACTGGGGACACACTGGGACAGTTTTGCCTTTAGAAACAGAATCTCAGTGGTGTCAAAGAGAATTTGAAGGCTGGGGTTCCATTCCCTCACTTCAATTACACGCATGTTCTTCCCTGCAGGCCAGGTTCAGTCTTTTCAATATCTAGAAAATGTGTTTTTTCTTCCCAGTGGTGAAAGAGAGATGAGGTTCTAGCAATCCTTTGTCCCTGGCATTCAGCTCCCAAGATGACACACATCTATACAAACCACAACGCAGATGCCTGCAGAGGCGCTTCAGGACAAGCTCCACAAGCCAGCGCTGTGACATTCAGCACAGGTTGGACACAACCATTGGCTCCACACTAAGCTGGGAGCTGGCACAGTCCCTCTGCACAACCTGCTGACTCAGCCCTTCTGGGTGCTTACCAGCAGCAAAAACCCCACATGAGCTGCTAGACCAGACGTGGGGCTGCTCTCTCTCCTGGGAGGTCACAGGCATTGCAAACCTGCAGCAGAGACACACTGCAGTGCCAGCAGCACTGCCTGAAGGTCAGGCTGGGCTTAACCAAGGCCATAGTGCAATTCCCCCTCCTGGAGCACATTCTCCGTGCTGCTCCCAAAAATACCCTTCGCTGTTGTTGAGGTATCTCTAAAGAAAAGGATTTCCCACTCTGGTCCACATCAAATAGAACCCAAACCCCTGACAACAAGAGCTGAGCTGGAACTCCTCTGTTCATGGTCGGCATGTCACACAGTTCCTCTGCTGCCAGCTCGATGGCATTAATCTAGGAGATCAAAAGAGTTTTCTTATTCTAGATAGGCAAGTTGTCTTAAAAGAACTTAAAACCAGAAAATGAAGCTTGTGGTTCACAGACAAGCGAAGAAACAACAAGAGGTAATGCAGCTGGTAACTGCGGTGTTAAGAGACAATCCAAGCCTCCTGCTTAGTCTTTGCTCTTCAGGCCAGTATCAAGGAGCTCACCAAAACATCAAGCTTTGAAGTTAAACCTGGTCTGTAGAGTGTCCAGCATGTTCCAAACCTGCCTCATATGAAACAGCCCAAACCCTGACAACTGAGCTGCTGGTGAGGGGACAAAGCCCCTTTTCCCAGTGATCCCACTCCAAAGCCAACTTCCCACCCTTCCAAAGGCAGAGCTGTTATCTACCCGGACAACCACGCACATGGGAGCCCACAAACAGCTGGGCACATTGACCAGGATGACAGAAAATAGCACATGGGTTAAGTGTGGCCTTACGATTCATCACAACCTGAGCAACCAGCTCCCTACAGGCAGCGGCTGTGCAAGCCATGACCCCAAACCCTGCTGGTGCTTCATGTCTTGCCAAGGCTAAGGAAACAAGTTGTGGGTTTAAAATCAGACCTAACTTTGAAATGCAGCTAAGAAAACCTTCTGCCCACCTTAAATACTCCCGTGGTAAAGAGTTTAGACCCACGACAGCCTCAGTGTGGGCTGAGCTGCAGCATCAGGGGAGATCAGCAGCTCCCAGCCTGGATCTCCATCCTGCTGCTCACTGTTCTTTATAAGCACAGCTCTAGGAGCCAACCATCACCACAGACTCATCCCCTCAGCTGTGAGTTCACACACCACCTTCAAGCCTATCCTCCCTTTCACTGTTTTCCCATCTCCAACTCTGTGTTTTTGTTACTAGATCTCCCCTAAAAATGAAGAAGTGAGCGTGAGACAGCAAGAGTTTCCCCTAAAACACTTGAGTTTCCTTGCACAGCAGTACCCTGACATTAGAAAAAGGCAGTGCCAGACTTCTTGACAGTCTGAACTTACCCAGCAGGTTTCTAACTGCTCACAGGGGGCCGAGCTCCAGTGTTGTTTAACACAGGGCAGAGGCTTGAGAAGGGGACAGTCCTCAGGAAGGGGCAGCTCCTACAGGGAGGAACACTTCTGCTGTTAGGCTTTGGAGCAAAGAGGTGCTATTCAACTCAAAAAAATAAAAAAAAAAAGAACAGAATTCTGATTGCTGACAAGTATCTCAAGTTTTCATTTAAAAACCCAAACCTTTAGTATACATTGGTAACAGAAACAATAAAAATACCACTATGCAGATATAAAACCCCGAGGGTGGCTAAATATCAGTCACTTTATAACAACAGTTGGAATCAGAGGAGCTCAGTATTGTACACACAGTGTGGTCAGCAAACCCCCAGGGTTTGGGTTTGTCAACATTTGTTTGCGTTGGTTTCAATGCACTAAGGCACCAGGAAGTCACAGTTAGGCAAATGAGACCTTCCATGCAACATTCAAACCCAAGACACTTACCACGTACTAAACAGACAAGAATATAGGATCAAAGTGCAATAGCTGGAAGACAGCACTGGAGCCAGCAGCAGCCTGCAGGAGGAAGGGAGGGAGCTCTGGCTTCAGGTTGGATGAAGTTGGATCAGGTTGGATCCCAGCCTCAGTGCAGGGATCAGAAATCCACACCGCTTGTACACAGGCACCGATGCAACAAAACCAATACCCAACCGGCTGGACACTTAACAGTGCTCTGAGCCTTGTTCCTCCAGTGTTTCCCAACTGCTTGAAAAAGGCAACTTGCTTTTACCTCCTAAAACCACTGAAATATTGGCAAAGGTTCCCATAACCACCAAGACCAGTTGTAAAAGACACGGAGGGAACAAAGACGGGGGTTTACAACAGGAAGGAACTGCCAACTCTCTTTAATAGTACATCACTCTGGCTAGCAGAATAGTCAGCAAAGCTCAAACCTTGCTGGATCCACCACGAATTATACAGCATTTTACAACTTGAAAGCACTGTACAGACATTGCTGCAAGGCTGCAGCTCTCCAGCTTTGCTACACACACAGATTGGTCATACTTTATCATCAGCTGCACATTCGTTTCTTCCTCTGGTATCTCACAGCTCTTCAAAGGCTTCTTCAGCTTCAGCTTCACCCCATGAGGCAAGTGATCTTCAATGTCTTGCACTGTGCACAAAAGCACTTGCTGCCAGCATGGAGTCCTCTTGCCATCACCAGTAAATCATACAGAAACCCAAGTCTATTTTATCTTCACCAACACAGTTGGCATTTTCAACGACATTCCAGTAATTTGGAGGTTACTGCCATAGCAAAAAGGTTGGTTGGGGTTTGTTTTTGAGGCAGATACAAAGTTCTAAACTACCTGGTGTTAAGTTAAATTCATTCCATCAGAAACCTGGTGCCTAAAGGTACATCTAGAATTGCAATGTGAGCTGTGCCCTGCTCTTCCTAAGGGTCTGCCTTGCAACCTATGGTTGGCAGCAAGTTTCACTCCCTCCGCGTTCCCTGCGTTCCCAAACCTGAACACGTAGTGGCCCTGGGTTGAATGGGAATGCCATGGAGAAAGGGAGAGCAGAACCCCTCAAAGCTCCCAGCTGCTGCAGCCGCTCGGAATGAGGCTTGTCCAGGATCTCCAGAACAACATTCCTGTGATTTCGTGTTTAGGATTTGTTAACGAGGAAGAAAAAAACCCCCACAGCTACAAATGTGACAATTTCAACTAACACAGTGTGAAGTCAGCTTCTTATGTTAAAGCAGACAAGACATCATTACTAAGCTACACCTTTCCTGTCCCCTTCAGGTGACAATGCTCATTTCCTTTGAGTCTCTGAACCTCTGAATCCAGACAACTCACAGGCCTCCGGTTTGGCTCTTCTCGAAGAGTCAGGGAAGGGTTCCAGGCAACAGGCACTGAACTGTCTTGAGTCCAAGAGGAATTGGTCTTCACCAGAGACCATGGAAGCTCATGTTTTGACCAACTCCATTCTGCTATTGCAGCACAACACAACGTACCATTGTTCGGAGCTGGCAGTTGAACCAGAACTACATCCAGTTGCTGAGATGCTCCCAGACTTCTCCAGCCACAGGCTGCCTCCATCAGCCGCTGCTTACACACACTGGTGATCAAGTACTCAGCACAGTAGAAGAGTATCCTTTTATTCCAATGGAGAAGTTGCACAGATCAGTCCATCCAAGACCAAGAGAAGGTTAGAAAGTCAGAGCAACAAAAGCCACACACCTTTCACTTGAGTTCTCCATGTGCACTGATGCATGAGATAACGCGTGCCGCGGGAGGAGCGCAGCCCTTACACAACAGACCAGGATACAACTGATTGATCAAGTTGACAACACATTTGCTAAGATCAACATAACCCTGAAGGACACTCATGTAGATTGGTTGGGTTTTGTTTTAGTGCAGTGCCAGTTTCAGAATTTTGGAGGAAGAATGGTGAGGCCATACACTTATGGCTGGCCCGGACACATACAAAGAGGAGTTAAACCACTTGTAGTAGGTCAGTGGGTACGTAGAGAGCATGTATCTCTGGAGGGTTCTGTGATAACCCATGTCTCTTACCCAGGCTCCCATGGCTAGACCTGGGCAATAGGTAACAGATTCAAAACCTGCCAAAGTGACAGTGTTTTCAAAAGGAGGAACTAAGGTCCTACTACAGCATTTACTCCATTGTTCCACCTCCGCTCCATCAGGTTTACGGCATAAATAAAAAAATGGAGAGGACAAAAAAAAAAAAAAGAGAAAAAATAAATATGTTGGCTCCTGGGAAGTCAGAAGTGGTTTGGGCTGCACAGTGGAGGGGGGAGAGATGGGGCAAGGGGCAAATTTACACACTTGGAGACAAAACAGGAAGCGCCTGTAAAGTATGAGAGGAGGAAGTCAAGAGTTTAAGTGTCCTCATTCATGTCCTGGCTGTCTGTCCGAGCGATTTTCCGGGGTGGTGCTGAGTTCTCACCTTCTATTTCCACCTGCTCTTGATCTCTCTTCTTTGCTGCATTCTGTTTGGACAGAGAAAGGCACAGTGAAATTCCCCAGAGGCCAGGATTCGGCTGGGAATATCAGGAGAATGTTTCTAGAAGTTTTTGGCTGCAATGACCTGACACACTGGAGGAGCAAGCACTGAAGAGGGTTTTGCCCAAAGGCAAAAGATGCTGCTTCTACACTGTTCTTGACATCTGGGGGTGGGACTGACCCACCATTGATCTCAGCACCTTTTAGTTCTAGATCTCAAACGCTGCATAAAGCTGAGGAAGATCCTCTTTCCCACTGCTTTGAGCCAGTCCCTGAACACCTCGGAATCTCCCAAACCCTGTCACACACAAATCCTTTCTCTTTAGCTCCAAGATTCCTGATTATTTTACCTCTCCCCATGTTCTTCCACAGCCTCTGCTCTGGCTGTGATTGCACTCACTGCTTCCACATCTCCACTCCTATGTCATCCATCACCTTGCTCCCAGTACACCCAACACAGGTATCCCAGGTTCCCAGTCTCAAATGCTGGCTAAAGCAGATTTGTGTGCTGCTCATATGAGAGCTCAGATTTTGTACCCAAGGTACTTACACATCCTTGTGTGTTCAAGTTCTGCACAAGCTCATCTGCCTTCCTCTCACAGCCCTGCAAGCTAAGAGCAGCTTTACTCTCACCATAAAGCAGCCACAGAGGCACAGGGAGACCATCTGCCAAGGTCACAAAGGAAAACCGCAGTGAGAGGGAGCTGGAAGTGCAGGCTCCAAGTTCTAGACTAAACACTGAGTCAACATCCCTCACATTGGAAGGGAAGGAAAAGTTGTTTGGGGTTTTTAAGAACAGACAGAGCCACCCTGCACTATGCTCTTCCTGAAGCACAGCTTGCTCTTTTTTTTCATTAACTCTTCAATCTTGCGATGAATATTGAGCTCAATGAGCTCAAAGCAGCACATCAAGAATGCTGAAGGAGATACAAGCATACCTTTTTGTCCCACTGCTGATGTAAATAGCGCAAGAGGATATTTGTCTTTTCTGTTACTATGACTGCCAAGAAAAAGAGAGAGAAAAACCCAGGTCATGTCCAAGATCAGAGGCTCAGAGATTTATTCCATTTTAAAGATGACTTTTAAGACAGTGCAGTAATTGCCATGTTGCTTCCCATGGTCCTTCTTAATGAGAGGACAGCACGAAGGGACACCCATTGCTTCAGAAGCATCCAGAAGCACAAACCCAAGAACTGGACACACTCTGCTCATCACTGGCATGGTGGTTTCATAAATTATCATCTCATCTGAAGTTTAAACCAAGGGGGATTATGTGTACCCCAGGTTTGGAGTATTAGATCTGTAACAAGTTATTAAACCCCTCACAACTTTAGCAGGGCACTTACTTTGTTCAGATGGATATTCCCTCGTGGGAAGATAAACTGATGGTCTCCTATTCTGTAGAGGAATTACAACAGTTACAGGACAAAGACAGCAACAAGGTGGGGTTTTAAGGCAAGCACAGCTAAACAAACCAAAAGGCCCCTCTTCACCCAACAAGTGCACTGTGATATCCTGCCCTGGTTGTGGGACACTGTGAGGCTCCAGCTTTTTAACACCCACATAGAAAGGAGAAGGTCCAGTTTTTGACATGTTTTTCAGGACTCCTAAAGAGAAATAATACAAGCACCACAGATGTGGTCTGGCCGATGTAAGCCACATTCCTCACCAAAGCAAGCAGGAACTTTGCCTTGCCAAGCTCAGCTGATGAACTCTCAGCTGTGATCACACATGAGTTTTAAGAAACAAAAGCCTCACTGGGAGTTTCTTTTAGTCAAGCAGCCTTTGAGCCCCACAAGAAAACCTCCCCCCAAAGGATGTGGCAATACTTACTGATGCTTTACATACAGAATCCGCATGGAATCTGCTGAAGTTGCTTTTGTTGTAGACTGGTAATCCTTTCAAAAAATCTGCCTGGAAAGAAACAGGACACAAAGAAGCAGGTGAGGAAAGAATGTGATCACTGGCCTGAAGGAGCCACTCAGGTCACTCAGATAAAGAGCTGCAGGAACTGAAGGATGCTGCCAGGTCCCAGGTAGTGAGATGGGTCTTAGATACTGAAACCCACCCAAACTGCTTTCTTAAAACCAATCCCCAGCTTCCGCATTTCATACAGTCCCAGCCTGGTTTGGCCTGAAGGGACCTTAAGGCTCATCCAGTTCCAACCCCTGCCTCAGGCAGGGACCCCTTCCACTGGAGCAGCTTGCTCCAAGCCCCTGTGTCCAACCTGGCATTGAACACTGCCAGGGATGGGGCAGCCACAGATTCTCTGGCTCACTCTATCCCCAAAGTTGAGTAATTCAGTGAGAAAGCTGCTGATTCAGCCTCTTTTGGCAGGGACGTGTCCAACGGGGGGGAGCCTGGACACAGACACATCTGCACCACTGATGAGCAGTAATTTACCAGCACAAACCACAGCATCACACCAGAAACTGCCACAGCCACACCACTGCCTGGAGGCCTTGACCACCCCAAAACCAGCTGCTCTTTCACCTTCCCAGTTAACATTCTTTGTTATAGGCAAGGTTGGTTCCACAGAGCAATGAGAGCCTCCAAAGCCCAGTCCTTATCACAAGCTTATCAGCCCGGCTCCACTTCATTATCTTTTGGGAAGGATCCCACCCTGCACACATCAAGGCTCCTGGTACTTCCAAACCAAACTAACCCCAAGTTCTGCACTGCTGCTCACCCAGCCCAGCAGAGCTGTTTGCTGAACAGGAACCCTGCAGAGCCCTCTTGGTTTACTGAAGCCACAGCAGCACAGAACAGGCATTTCCTTCTCTGAAGTGAAACAGGAAGGTGAGAGCAGAATATTCTGGGGTCAAACAGAACTGAGCTTCAAAGTGTGGTGGAGCCCCTCTACTCACAGCAGAGACAAAGGATGATGGGAGAAATGTCTTGAAAAGAAAGAGAAGATGGGGAATAAATGTGAGATGAAGAGAGAGAAGCCCCAAAATGTTCCTTCTCAATCATTCAACCTGCATTAAAATGCTGCAAGATTCCAAGCCTGTTGCACTGAACACGGAAGGATTCTTCTCTAGGCCATGCATCCCCTTGTTCTGAAGCAGTTTGAAAAGGACAGTGAAGCAGCAGCTGAGAAATCATTTAATTTCAAGGTTAGAAGCAACCCAAAAATGCTGCCACAAAGCTGCCAGGGGGAAAGAGGCCGTTTTCACTTCACTCAAGTGAACCCTCCATTATGAGCCCTCCTTCTTCCATTCACATCCAAGAGGCATCATTGGCCAGACAAGAAAACATGATTCATACTTCTGGTTTTAACAACTCTCCTGACATTCCAGTTTCCACCCTCAACCTTTCCCATACACCTGAGTTTAGGAATAACCTTGAAGCTGGGTTCAAACAGGGAACTGCAGCTTTATCCTGCCCATCTTAACCCCCAACCTGCAGGTTCCCTAGGACAAAATCCATCTCCCACCAGCTCAGCACTTCCCACCTCTGTCCTGATGGGTTTTGCTGTTCCCACTTCCACTGAGAGTGAACTAGTTCCACGATCCTGGTGAGAAGGAGCTGTACAAACACCCTGTTACACCTCCAAGGATCTCACCTTCCTGGTGCAGAACATTGGTTCCAGCAGCCTCAACCAGAGCCAGGCACAGCCTTGATTGCTGCTCCTGCAGCAGAACCTGGTAACTCACTGGGTTTAGCACCATTTCAAAGAATGGGAAACAGCTGCTCTTATTTGAGAGCACGCAGCTTCAAGTACCCCTTCAATAAGCTACAGCTCACCCTAAGTTCCTCATGTTAAGCTATTGCTTATTTTCCAGCCAGGATTTGGTCCAGCAGAGCCCACATTTCCCTGGAAAGAGGCTGGATTCCAACTCTCTGCAGGGATTCCACACTGGAGTTTCCCAGGAGAGCGAGTTATGTCCTGTGAACACGGTTACAATTATCAACCCAAATGCAATTTAAATGGTGAATGTGGGGTTCCCCCCTCGCTGCCTCCAAAACTGCAGCAGGATCTCGAGCACACTCACAAGCAGGAAGGTTACAACATTCAACTCTTAACAGGTCCCTGGCTCTTGGCCACCACCTTTCCTGCGCTCAGCAACAGGGACACCAAAGTGACCAAGCAGATGAGGCTTCTCCAACCCAGCACATGGAGCACTCATCTCCAGTCCAGCTGAGGAGCACAACTAATCCTGCTGGATCCAATGCCCCACTCCCAGGAAGTGCCTGGACTCACATTCCTGCCCATTCAGAAGGAAACAATACTCCAAGTGCAATGATCTGTATCTGCTCCAAGGGTAGCAGGTAAATAAGCCCCAGGAGGTCACTGCTGTGTTCACAGCCCTGCGGGACACTGGGTCACACCTCCCATGAGAAAACACTCCCCAAGTGCCTCCTGCCACTCTTTAACCAAAGAAACTTCCTCCTGGCCAAGCTGCTGGAAGTGAAAGCCCAACACCAAACAAAGCAGATACCTCATGGCCTTTGAGGAAAGGCAAAGGCCCCCAACCCCCCCCCAAAACAAGTGTGATTTTGCAACCTCCAAGACAACACTGGTTCCTTCTACAACTGGGGAAGTGAAAGGTAGAGATGGGATGCAGCTACTGCATCACCTAGGGTCCTCGGCTTCCCAGGAGGGTGACAGTCCTCATCTAAAAGCAAAAAAGGTGGACAACCCACCCCACCATATTCTGTTCCCCATTCCCTGCTTTTGAAAGGAACTGCTCCAGAAGACAAGGCCCAACACAGAGAGGTTGAAACAAGCGCTCAGACCCAGCACAAGGCTTGTGGGTTAGAGAGAACCGATGATCACAGGCTTGGGAACAGCCACCTCAACTCTCAGCCGTGGTACATCGAGACCACAGGGCCTGCTCACATCCTGATCACTGAGCTCCTGGAGGGACACAAGGAAAACTTTCTCCCGTTGTTGCAAAGGGAAGGAAGGAGACTGGGAGCCTCTTGGCTACCGCAGCCTACCACCACCAGCTCAACAGCCTGCTGCTGCTGAGGGAGTACAGAAAGGTGTGAACCCCCTCCACAGGCCCCTCAGTGCGCAGCAGCCCTGGGGAGGGGGAGCCCCCACTGCTGCTCTCCAGACACCCCACACCCTGGCAGCCCCCCGGCCCTCAGCCCCAATCCCTGCGGGTGGGGAAGGCCCCACGGCCCGGAGGAGCCCTCGCCCCCGTGCCCCCCCGCAACCCTCAAGCACTCCCAGTGTGGAACCCCTTCACGCCCCCAGCTCAGGGCGTCCCTCCCCTCCTCACCCCCGCACGCCTGGGGGGGAACCCGCCACCCTGGGGTGCCTGCGGGTGGGGTACCCCCGGTCTCGGGCCATAGCAACCCCCGCACCCCGGCCCTCAGAGACGCGCAACACGCGGGCCTGGGGTGTCCCCGTCCCCGCAGCCCCAGCTCCCTCCCGCGCCGAGGCCCGGGGCACCGGAGGGTGCGGGCCCTGCGAGGGCCGGAGGCGGCCGCGGCCTCGCCGTGGCCGAGCTGGGCGGGGCGGGGCAGCGGAGCGCGGCCGGCGGCGATGCCGGGGCTCCCGGGGCAGCGCTCCCGGCACGGCAGCGGGAGGGGGCGCCGCCATTTCGGGGGGTGCAGCACCTACCATCTTCACCGCCGCTACCGTGAGAGCCGCACCTCGGCCCGCCCACCGCCCGCCGCTGCCCACCCCGCGCGCCGCGATTGGCCCGCGCCCCGCGGCGCTCGCGTCCTATTGGCCACCGCGCCTGTCACTCATCGCGTAGGGGTCAGCCGAGGCAGGAAACGCCCGCTCGGAGCCCGGGAGGGGGAAGGGTTGTGGCGCAGGGCGGCAGGACCCGGATGCAGCGCAGGGCGCGGGGCCCGCTGGGAAATGTAGTTCGTGCCCTTTCCCCGTGACCTTCGTTGGCGGAGGCACCGCTCATTAGGCGGTTCGTTAGCAGCGGCCACAAGGCAATTCCGCCCCTTCCACCCCAGAACCAGAGCCCCGATCATGTAATAACTCAGGGGAGCCGAACAGGCAGAGGCACTGCCATAAAGTTTTGCATTCAATTAGCTCTGGGCTTTAATGGCAGCTCGTGCTTTCAGCAGTTTCTCTCAATCACCCATACAAAGGGACACTAAGATTACAATTCATAGCACAGGCATTAAAACGAACACCCTCTGAGGCCTCCCCTCGAGCCAGCATGACTCCTCACACTCTCCCAACACACGACAGACACACATGCGCAGCCTCCCTCGGCACAGGTGCTCCACTCAGGTCACTCCACAGCTTCAGGCTTGCCCCGCAAGCAGAGCCCTCAGTGGCTCAGAGACTTCCTGCCCTTCAGCATGCGCCGCAGGATGACCTCGATGCCCGCCGGCGTGCTGATGCGCTTGATCCAGCCGTGGGTCCGTTTGCGCTTCCGGTTGTTGGGCTGATATTCGTTGCCTCGCGCTTTGGTGCGGATCTGCTGGTGGGTCCAGGGGGACACGGGGCCAGGGCTGATTCCTACCGGCTTGAAGAGAAGATGGCTCCTGAGGGGCAGCTCCAGGGACCCGCAGAGCACAGCGGCTGTGCGGAGCTGGACAGAGCCGGCCGCAGCGTGCTGCAAGAGGAGAAACCTTTGGGAACAGACAAAAGCACCATCAGAGGAGCGAGATGCGCGCCCGGCGCTGCCGCTGACGGGCCGATAACGGGACCTGTGGAGCAATGAGGGACGGGGCTGACCCTGCGGCGGGGGCTCGCGTCCCTCCCCAGCCCAGGGCGTGCTCCCGGAGGGGAACAGCACACCCGGGGCACGGCAACGCCGCTGCCCGCCCGCCCGCCCTCCCTCTCCTCTCCTCTCCCGGGTTACCTGCGGCCCACAGCGCGCCCCAACGCTGCCATGGCCGTCCACCCGCCACTGCCAACACCGCCCTGCCAACAACACCGCCCGCTATTGGCTCCCTCTACCCAGTCACGTGCAGCGTGCCGCAATGGCTGATGGGGCTTGTAGTCACGTTGCGGAGCCGCGCCGTTACCATGGCAGCGGCCGCCGGGATCGGCCTTGAGGAGCTCCGCGGCCTCGTCCCGGGCGCAAACGGAGCGAAGCCGCCTCTCGACGATCGTTTGTGCCTCGGCAGGGCGGTTCTGGGGCGGGAGGCTCAGGGCGCGGGGCACCCCTTCCATTGCGGCTGCCGCGGCCCTGAGGGGGTGTCCCCTGGTTACCCCACACCGCCGGGACAAGCAGCGTGGGGCTTGGGTGGGAGCCTGAAGAGGTTAAAGGGGCAGCGGGCTCCCCCCATCCCGTGTGCCCTAATGGGTGTGTATGCTCTGGGTTGTTGTGTCCCTGCCATAAACCAGCCTGTCGGGGTGAGGGGGTGTGATGGCAGCACCCCCAAAGCCACAGCTGTGCATACAAACCCAACGGACAGCCATGAGGCGATGGCTGTGCTCCTGGTCCGGCTGCTGTGAGCTGCACCTTCCTGCTGAGCACACCCGTGCTGAGCTTGGACACACTCGTGGCAACAAAAACGTCGTGGCACCGACACCCTTGTGATGCCAACACCCTCATGGCACTGACATCCTCGTGGCACTGACATCCTTGTGAAACCAACACCCTCATGGCACTGACACCATTGTGGCACTGACATCCTCATGGCACTGACATCCTTGTGACACCAACACCCTCATGGCACTGACATCCTTGTGACACCAACACCCTCATGGCACTGACATCCTTGTGACACCAACACCCTCATGGCACTGACATCCTTGTGACACCAACACCCTCATGGCACTGACATCCTTGTGACACCAACACCCTCATGGCACTGACACCATTATGGCACTGACATCCTTGTGACACCAACACTCTCATGGCACTGACACCATCGTGGCACTCACACCTTTGTGACACTGACACCATCGTGGCACTGATGCCATTGTGGCACCAACACCCTCATGGCACTGACACCGTCGTGGCACTGACACCCTTGTGACACTGACACCATCGTGGCACTGACATTCTCGTGGCACCGACACCATCGTGGCACTGACATCCTCGTGACATCAACACTCTCATGGCACTGATATCCTTGTGGCACTGACATCCTTGTGACACCAACACCCTCGTGGCACTGACACCATCGTGGCACTGACACCCTTGTGACACTGACACCATCATGGCACTGATGCCATTGTGGCACCAACACCCTCATGGCACTGACACCGTCGTGGCACTGACACCCTTGTGACACTGACACCATCGTGGCACTGACATTCTCGTGGCACCGACACCATCGTGGCACTGACATCCTCGTGACATCAACACTCTCATGGCACTGATATCCTTGTGGCACTGACATCCTTGTGACACCAACACCCTCGTGGCACTGACACCATCGTGGCACTGACACCCTTGTGACACTGACACCATCGTGGCACTGACGCCATCGTGGCACCGACACCCTTGTGACACCAACACCCTCATGGCACTGACACCATCGTGGCACTGACATCCTCGTGACACCGACACCCTCATGGCACTGACATCCTTGTGACACCAACACCCTCACGGCACTGACACCATCGTGGCACTGACATCCTTGTGACACTGACACCATCGTGGCACCGACACCCTTGTGACACCAACACCCTCATGGCACTGACACCCTTGTGACACTGACACCATCGTGGCACTGACATTCTCGTGGCACTGACATTCTCGTGGCACCGACACCATCGTGGCACCGACACCCTCATGGCACTGACACCATTATGGCACCGACACCATTATGGCACCGACACCCTTGTGACACCAACACCCTCATGGCACTGACACCATCGTGGCACTGACACCCTCTTGGCCTGTAGCAGCCACGAATACCAGCAGGATGAGAAAACTGTGCCAGGTAACTGAAGGGCCTCCCCTCACTGGAAAGGATGAGCCCTCCTGCCCCCCCCGCTGTTGGCAGCACCCCCGCGGGCTGCGCAGGGCCTTGCTTTGACTGGCACATCTCCCTGTCTGTCACACCAAGAGCCCTCCTCTTTAGGAGGGATTTAAGGGGCTTTCTATGGCTATAGACCACAAGGACAAACAGCCCCCCCCAAAGCCCAGAGCTCCGCTATGAAGCCTCTCCTGGGGAGAAGATGGAAGGAGAAACGTTGGTCTCAAGCAGATGAGCTGAGCTGAAGGCATCGCTCCAGCCTTCCCAACCAGACAGGCGCAGCAACCTGGAGCTGCAGGAGTGGAGAAGCTGAGCAGCCTTCCCGAGCTGCAGCCTGCATCCTGCACCCTGCACCAGCTCCCTCCGTCTCGGCCAGCTCTGCCTCTCCTGCACGATTTAAGCCTTTTCCTTTGCAAGCTCGACTCCTGCCCATCCTTGTCGATAAATGAGGTGAGCATCCTCTCATTCCCCTCTTCCTTTGTGCCGAGGGCTCAGAGCACAAGCAGTGATGTAGGACATGCCCTGAGGGAGGAAGGTGCAGAGCAATGGAGAGGAGGGGTCAAAATAGCCAAAAGGTGGGTTTCTTTTCCCAAAGCTGATAACGAGGAGGGATTTGAGAGGCATCAGCTGGGCTTGCAGGGCAGGAGGAAGGCAGCCTTGCAGCAGCACTGCACCGCTTGTGCTTCAATCTCCCCGTTCTAACAGCGGGGTTAGAAAACGCTGCCTGGCGATCCAAGTTAAAGGCCAGCTCCCGTTGTGATGCAATGGCAGTGAGTGGTTGCCGGCTCTGCTCTGCTGTTGCTATGTGCTTGGCAAATCTGCTCTGCTTCCCGCTTGAAGCCCGAGGGGGCACCTGCACGCAGCGCAAGGGGCAGAGATTCCTCCTTCTGCCTCCTTCCCATGGCTCCCTCCAGCCCGCTGCCGGAGGATGCTCGCTTCCAAAGGAATCCAGCCTTGCTGCCGCTCTGCTGGGGGAGCAGGAGCTTTGGGAAGCAGAGGGGGGTTAAACGGCATTCCAGAGGTCACGCGCGGGTTACCCCGCTGTGCATTACATGAGCTTTTGTTTCTCAAGGTCTTCTTCCTTCCTAAAGAGCCTGTGGCCGGTGGGCAGCGCGGCTCCGGGCTGTGTCCTGCCCTCCATCCACGCTCCTTCGGCACTCACTGTGGTTTGTCCTCGTCCCCTGGGGCCCTCAGTGGAGCCCTGCTGCTGCAGACAGGGACCAGACTCCCTTCCCCAGGGAAGGAGCCTCATCCCTGCCCGTGCTGAGGACCTCAGGGCTGCCTCCGTGCCTTTCTATTTGTATGCCTGATAAACCCTTCCTGCCCGCTTACTCCTCATAAAGCTGCTGTAATTCCACCAGGACATGGAAGCCAGGTGGAGCAGAATAAATCCAGGTGCTTGCCACCTACCACCTGAAGTGGCTTTTTCACCTTCCTTCAGAGGGAAGTTGCCTTTGCAGGGCCCAGATGAAGCAGCACAACCATTTTCTTGCTTGTAGCTGAGATCAGGACTTCACCGGATGTTCTCTTGCTCGATGCCGCCGTTTCTCCGCTTCATTCCCAGGGAATGACTGGGGGAGGCTGGGAAGAGCATCACAATATTTGCCCATTCCTCAGGAGTGGCATTTGGCACCATTAACACTCATGAGCCCCAATGGGAAGGGATTAGAGGTGAACAAATCCTTATGGCAGGTCGGGTTCTGGCTGTAGCACAGCTCCTGCTCCTCTCTGGCACCTCTCCTCCGAGGTCTTGAAAGGAACTAGCAGCTATGGAGTCCCTGCTGCTCCCAAGGCTCTGTGCAGGGAAGGGGACGGAGGTGCTGAGCAGAGCTTGGACTCACTGGTCTCCATAGGGAAGTTCATGGCCATCAGCTTCAGCTCTGACTCCCTCTTGTGCTGTCCCTGCAGTAAATGATGCTTTTGGATTGCTTAAAGGGATGAAATGTTTTGTCAGACATGGTATGGGAAAGGAGGAGGAGATCCTTGTCATTCCCAGCACCCCGGACAGGTAGGATATCAGCTGTCTCCAGCACTGTGTGCAGGGACCCAGCAGGGACAGCACCACTATGAGAGGCAGGATTGGGATGCTGTTTGGAGCAAGGATGGTGAGGGAAGAGCCTGACATGGCCATTAAGTGTATCATATCCCTCAGGCAGATGTGGTATGAGCACCGCCCTGAGATACCACTCTGTGTGCTCCCTGTCACCTATACAGGCTGTACACCAGCCCCACAGGCTCCATGTCACCTACACAGGCTGTACATCAGCCCCACAGGCTCCATGTCACCTACACAGGCTGTACATCAGCCCCACAGGCTCCATGTCACCTACACAGGCTGTACATCAGCCCCACAGGCTCCATGTCACCTACACAGGCTGTACATCAGCCCCACAGGCTCCATGTCACCTACACAGGCTGTACATCAGCCCCACAGGCTCCATGTCACCTACACAGGCTGTACATCAGCCCCACAGGCTCCATGTCACCCACACAGGCTGTACATCAGCCCCACAGGCTCCATGTCACCCACACAGGCTGTACATCAGCCCCACAGGCTCCATGTCACCTACACAGGCTGTACATCAGCCCCACAGGCTCCATGTCACCTACACAGGCTGTACATCAGCCCCACAGGCTCCATGTCACCTACACAGGCTGTACATCAGCCCCACAGGCTCTATGTCACCTACACAGGCTGTACATCAGCCCCACAGGCTCTATGTCAGCCTCGTGTCACTGCCTGTCCTGTTGTCCCGTTAGGTTTTCCACATCCCATTCATCCTGTTTTCCTCTGGCTGTGCTGTGCTGCCCTCGAGTTGTGTAAAAGCCAAGGAGCTGAAGTAGGTCAGGGAGCTGTTTTTCCCCCACAGGGATATTCTTTGCAGTGGCAGGAAGGGGGAAGCAGAATTCCACAAGGATGCTCCAGGACTAGAGCTGAACCTGGGCAATGAATGATCCTCCTGGGATTAATCCCAGCATCCTCTCTCTGACGGAGCTGTTTCCT